ACAGATTAGTTATAACTTATTCTGAATCTTTCATTCTATGGGTATAGATTTCTTATCAAAAGAATTAATGAAACGATGTATTGCATTAAGATCCTTAAGTCAAAGTCACGTTTATTCATATGCAATGTAATAATCTAAAAGAGATGGGGGAAGGCAGGCAAATGGAGAAGATGATTCACAGGGACACAGAGAAAACCTAACTTTCTCTAGACTTAACTTGATTCTCCAAGAGGAATTCTCTCTAAATCCTTGCAGCATACAAGGAAAGTCAGGAGGGAATTACTGTTTATAAACTAAGCACTGTATTAGATACTTTATTTACATTATCTAATTTAACCTCAAAACGACCCTATGAAGTAGATGTTATTGCCTTCATTTTTCAGACCAGGAAACCAAAGCCTAAAGAGTTTAAGTTATCCATCTATGCCACGTGGCTAATAAGACTGATATCTGGGTGTCCTTGATTTCTCTTTCTACTTTACTACTACATTTATTAAATTGGCCATCTGCCATTTCTACCCCTAATTATGGTTCAGAAGACCATAAATGGTGCCATAATCCGGGGAACCATTACTCTGAGAGCCTCCTCATTTTTCAGTTTTCCAGTTTTGCTCTCAACCAATTTACTGTTCACAAAGCCATCGGGGTGGTATTTTGAAAGTACAAATATTATCATATTACCTCCTGCTCTCTTTCCCCCAACACCTACTTCATGTGTAAAATGCTTCCCATTGCCATGGATATAAAACCTAAACTTTTTACATGTCTTAAAAGGCTAAGACTTGACCCCCAACTACCTTTCCAGCTTCATTTCTCCCAACTGTTCCCTCTTTTCTCCTTCACTGTCACTGCCCTTGCAGGCTGTGTTCAGGTCAGACTGAATCCTTTTCTTCTCTCAACAATTCCCTGCTCTCTCTCTCTCATGTGTCATTTTCTCTGCCTGAAATGCTGTTTCCTCTTTGTTCCCCTCTTTCCTGGATTAGTTTGACTTATTACCCCAAGATATCACTTCCTCAGGGAAGCCTGTGATTTCTCTTGCTTTTTGTTCTTCCTATCATGACATTCAGTACATTTTGTTGGGGTGGCCATGACAATCGACCTCTCAGATCTCTGAATGAAGAGTGCATATTTGGATGACCCAAGCACTGAAGCCATACTCCCACCAGCTGCTCCCAGCTCACAACTGAGCCCAGGGGAATACTGCGGGGGCACCTCCCACTCATAAGATTAAAGCCTGATAAAGATCTTTTAATGAAACACAGTGTTTGCAGGGCCTCATCGTGAAGGGATGATGGCAAAGCCTCATCGTGGGAGAAGATACCGGCATTCCACCCTGATTTTCTGGAGCTCTGTGTGCTTGTTATGCTTTATTATATTTTATTCTTTGCTGCCTCATAATTATCGTTCTGGGAGATTTGGAAGTGGGATTCAAAATTATACTAAAATATTTAATCGTACTAATGATATTTATGATTATGGATTTTCAGGAGATGGCTTGTGGCAGTGGGGCCCAGAAGGGGACAA